ACCCTTAGACTCACTTCGATCATGAAAAGTACCACACTTATCATTTCCTTTCATTATCGCAATATATGTAGTGGTAGGTCTCGACTATTTGGGTAGTGTGTCGCCATATCATCGTCTATTTCTCTTTTCTGCCCTCACTGTTCTTCCTCCATGTGTCCGAATCCTACGTCTTTAACTTCGAACTCGAGGCTGTCCTCAGTCCTCAGTAACTTGTTTTCCATTTCAGTTAAACCTTCTTTGGCTGGACCTCAGGTTCCCTCCTCTTTTCCCCCAAAAAATCTTGACGTTACGCAGTTCTGTGCTGTCCAAAGTTCCTAACAATTTCCAAGCCATTTCCAGAACTTCAACTTCGCAATCAATGAGCAAAGTGACTCCAGCTGAATTGGAGTGTGTCTCATCGGCAACTGGCAGTCGGGTAGGCTTCCTCGTCACAATGGCTGCTAGGGTAAGTTTTTCCTTGAACTCTCCAATCCCATTATTCTGAAAAGAAAATTGTATTTAGGTGTTTGGGATCATGTCGAGGCGTTTTGAACGTCGAATTTCTGACCCTGCCAGTGTGCAGGCTATGGAGAACGGTATCGGATCGGCACTGGGGACTCCAACTGTAAGTTTCATGATTTTGTACCGTAGCAGAATTCGAGCAGTTACGGTTTCCGCAGAACTCGGAAAAGAAATGTCTATTTTTCAGTTACCGCCAGTCTACCAGCAATCGTCAACCCGAAGGTGAGCTTCCTGTACACGCATATGTTTTACGCACTTTGAACCAGTTAATCAAAAGTAAACAAATTGAAACGTACTAAACTTTATTTGCGATAAATTTTGGCGTTAATTATAGTCTTTTTTGCTGCTGAGGAAGGGCGTTTAGAGAGGGCTATGGCGCGGCGTCTGCTTGTTCTCTACCCAGGGCACATCATTGGTTGGGGATTTTTATCAAAATAGAATTTTTCCCAGCCCAAATACGACCCCCCTCTCCTGGCGGCCAAATACGACCCCCCCCCCTATTGGGGATTCCCCAACAACGATGTGCCCTGTCTCTACCAGCTGTGGACGCCTCCCTGCTCCCAATTCAGATGTCCACAACTGGTGGAGATCAAGCTTGCGCCGCGCCAAAACCAGCCCTCCAAAACGCATCAGCGTCCGCAGGTAAAAAGACTGTAGCACTGAGGCTGGGAGGTTCATAGAGCGCATCTGGGGTTCGCGCAACGAAGATTAGGACTTTAGCCTGATAGGGAAAGAAGGAATAAACTTTAATTGAAAAACTACTGCAAAACCCAAATTATTTATAATTGTTTATCTTAAACGGCGTGCTTCGAGCACACCGGGAGATTCGGGGTTGATAAATCAAATTCAAAGGAGTCAGATGGAATGATACGTGAAAGTTGTTTCCAATTACAGGACGTCTTGAAATTCACCCCCCCCCCTCTCCCTTCCTAAAAGGTTATCAGAAATTCTAACAGCTACTGCATATGATCAGAGAAGCAATTACTAAACCAAGGCCGATACCACTACAAAAAGTTCAAATTCTCTGCCCTTTCTTGTCAGCGGCAGTTTGGCCCGAGCTGTGCCCATTCCGATCTGACCCGCAATGGAACTCTATTTCGAAAAAGGAGTTAGGCTCGCCATTGAGGGCAGGTGGATCAAATAAGGTGACGGGTGGTGGAGAATATTGTACCTGTCTTTGAGAAACATATTAAAGTTTGATAAATTTTCTCGGTTTCTCTTTCCCAGGCGCACTATAGTGCCCTATGAGTTTAGGGGGGGAGGGGTCATCTTTCGCAAAATTTCACCCTAACGGCTGGTCGTGCTTCGATTGGCGCGCCCTTCTGGTCTATGGTTTTAGAAAGAGGGCACACTTATAAGAAGGCACAAAGACGCTACTGACTCCGCCCATGCGACCAGCGTGGACTTACTGCAAAAGATTGACAGTTCAGTTCACAAGCGAATGTAGAAATTAAACGAGGTAATTGTACCAAAATATGTTTCAGGCTGGCATTTGGCTCAACACCCTATGACACATCACATCCTCAGAAAGATTTCTACAACAACAGTACGTTGGTGAATCTGAGCAAGCTGTTCTGTGTTGCTGTCCTTCTTACTGCCTTTGTTCTGGTTATGACTCACGGGTTTTCATATTTCTCTCCGGATGAGACCAATTCTAACTCAACGTCCACGGCCACCTTTTTCCTGTAGAACTTTGAAAGGGCTCTTTCTCAACGAGGCTCATCCATCACGGGTGCTTTCACATATTTTTTGTTCGCGTATGTTGTTCGGTTATTACGGTATTTTGGCTTTGAGTACTTATTTTAAGATTCCATGGCAATTCTTGCCCTCTCCGGGTTTTGTGGAAGTTTTATGAATTCTGAATTTCTTACAATTGTGTCTTTGTACGGTTTCTAGAGCTCATAAGCTTGGGTTAGGTTCAGCTGTAAGCGCTTGTCTGCATACCAAATCTTGTAGACAGTACGTACACTCCTTATCCCTCAGACGGAGTAGGCGTGGCTTTCGAGTATGGGTATTTCTCATTTGAAACAACTGCTATCTTGTTCTGTGTTAGATGTAGACATGATTACGACTGCTCCAAAATGACAATATCTCACGAAAACCTGGGCCGCCGCCATTTTAAAATCAAGTACGCAGCCACGCCTACCCGATCTCAGGGATTTCGAGTATATCTGACTACTGGACAACCCTGTCAACAACCTGTAGGTCTTGCTATCATTGGT